AAACTTTGTCTATACTCTAATAAAAAGTTCCCCAGACCAAAGAGGTCACCTTAATACCAAAAAAAAAAAAAAAAAAATTTATAATAAGTAATTGCTAAATAGAGCTTTCAGTTGCCTATTACTCATATATCTCTTTTTTATTTAAAGGCTAAGACTTTTAATAATTACAGTATAGTGGAAAAAAATAAATTCAATAATTGCACTGATTCATCAATATTAATTTTTATTTTTACTTGTAATTGTCTATTATATATGTATGCACATTATAATGAAAAATAAATTTAATAATAATATTAAAAATGAACTTTATTATTACGTTGTAAATTAGCAAAATTTGATTTTAAATTATGGTTTAATAAATAAAAATCTGCCTATAAATATAATTTGGATACTTAAATAAAAATCAATTTTTATTATTTTGCGAAGATATTACTAAAACTTTATTATCTTATTAATTTAATATCATAAAGCGATGAATTGTTTTTAATTTTAGCTACTTTTTGAAGCTTTAGATTCAATTGAAATTGAATCTGATTCGAATATAGAATTCAATTCTAATATAAGCATAGATCCTTGTTATGATGAAACTCTTATTACCTTTATTATTTCTCATCGTTTAAATAATCTACCTCAAATTATAAATATACATCCAAAATCTGATCATTGGTATTCAAATATATTGTTTAATTATGATAAAATTTGATTTTGTCGAACTTTGCGAATGAAAATATCTTTATTTTGGATGGTCGTTAATAAGATATGTGATTATACTATTTTTAAAAATATTCTACAAAGAATACAAAATCCCATAAAAAAGCAACTTGCAGTTGTTTTATATAGGTTAGGGCGAAAAGCAACTATTTGGGATATTTGTTCAAAATTTGGAATAGCAGAAGGTACTGTACCTTTGTTTATATCAAGAGTTATTGAGGCTCTAAAATTATTAAAAAAAGATGTTATTATTTGGTCTTGTAATAACTATCAACAAAGAATTCATATGGGTTTTGAAGAAATGTATAGTTTTCCAAATGTAATTGGTGTATTAGATGAGTCTCATATGAATTTGTTTGAGGCCCCTAGTAAACTAAACAAGGATACAAAAATGCCGTTATGCTATACATCTTCAGGCTGTTATCGATCATAAGAGAATTTTTATAAATTATGATCTTGGATATCCTGCATCTATTTATGATACAAAAGTGTTTCGAAATTCTAGTTTATATCATTGCAGAAATTAACTTTTCGAAGGAAATGATTATGTTTTGGCTGATTCTGCATATCCAATTTCATTAAATATTATCCTTTCATTTAAAAATCTTTCAGAACCAGATAAAGATAGACAAAATTTATTTAATAAAAAGCATAGCAAATCTCGTGTTGTAGTTAAGCAAGCATTTAGCCAACTAAAAAACAGATTTCAATTATTAAAAGAACTTCAGACAAGAAATACTAAAATTGCATCTGATTTGATAGAAATTTTATTAATTTTATATAATTTATTAAAATGAAATAAAGATGAATAGGATGAACCTTTAGAGCAAATATTGATGCATCAAATGCAATATAATGATAATGATAATAATTCACAAAGAGACTGTGCAATTAAAGAAGCAAGAAAAGCTAAAAGGCAAAATCTAATAGATATAGTATTAAGTTAATTTTGCAATATATAAACAAAGTATATTTATTATATTATAATACATATTCATTTATTATACTATTTAATAATTTATTAAATTCAATAAATATTAGATTTTAGTCTAAAATTTTTTTTTCTTTATACTTTATTGTTTTGTTTCTCATTTTTGTAACTTACTACAGAAATACATTTGGGTATTTTTTTTTGCTGATCAAGCAACTTATGCAGCTTTTTTAGTATAATTTATATTCTTTTCTTTTTGCTCTTTTTTTTTTTTTTCTTGATATAAGATATATTAAAATTTTATACAAATGATTGTTATAAAATGTTAAATTTATACAAATAACTGTTATCCTGACAGGCTATATCCTTAGAACAATTATATGAGTGCTGCCAAGGGAAAACCTACAAACCTAGCATAACCACTACAATTAGTTATATATGAAGTTAGAATTAATTATCAAAATTTTAATGATGTATATGTTAGTCATAGTTAATAATGAGTTAATAATGACAATGTTTATTTATATATTGTAACTTAATAACAAGTATCATTTAAAAATTTTCTTACCAAATGTTTTATTAATGGAATCCAACTATTCAACCCAATCAAATTTAAAAAAATGTTTGCTTGCCAAATAATAAAAATAAATTAATGAATTTGAAACTAATAAAGAAACATGTATCAAATGCAGAAATGTTAAGAGCAGAATATGAATAATGTTTATAAATTGCAAGAAAGTGCCATAGAACCTGAAGAAATCGAAGATGTAGTTTATAAATAACTTATAGATAATATAGAAGAAGAGAGTGCACAAATGGATCTTAATACAATTATAAAGCTTTCAAATCGGATTAATAAAATTAGAAAATATTGAATAATATACTAACTTAATAGCGATTGAGATTGAGATTGTGAGGCATTATAGAAAGGTGACGAATATTTTTAACATAAAAAGCATTATATTATTCACTTATTAGTGCAATTGCTATCAAAAGTTTGAAAAAAAGACAAAACAGAAGCATCTTAGGAAATATAGCAGCCTCATTCTTTAGAAAGGTTTGATAAAGTTTATCTTTATATTATTTCAATTTACATTTGATGGAATTCATATTATTCTATTAATTGAAGAAGCCGAAAAAGCTATTAGGAGAAAATTCACATATCAGCTAATGATGTACAACTTCTTATAATGATTACTTTAACAGTTCCTGATAATTCTTGATAATTATGATAATAATATTGTAGAAGATGATGATCAAGTGAAGAAAGCGATTTGGAAATTATACATAGCTTAATATTAAAAAATTCTTTATGAAATATAACTTATTTATTGTTTTTATCAAATTAAATTATAAATAAAAATATCTAAATTTGATATCTAATATAGGTGCTTGACCTTCTTGAAGTCTTATAGCCTTTCACAACCAAATATTGGATCAATTTCATGTCAATTCAAAGATAATAGATGACATAAAGAATCTGAACTAAGCGAAAAACCTGCAAGAACCTGGAATATACAAAATAAAATATTTTTTTTTTTTATTAATAAACTTAAACTTAAATTTATGAACATTTATGAAATAAATTTTAAATAACTATTTTTCTTGATATAATAAAAATTTATGATATAATATATAAAGTTAAGTAAAAATTGTTTACTGAACAAATTTCGAATAAATACTTTTTTGATGCAATTTTATATTATTTATAACAGTAATAATTTTGTATGCTGGGTTATGAGATCCTGTTAAGTAAAATCTCAGATCAGTGATTACATAACTAATCATGGTGGTTATGCTAGAGGGTTAGGGAAAACCTGTCATTAGGCTTTCAATTATATTTTGTATTGGACAAAATCTATTTGATTTCTTAGAGAATATGTCTGGTACAAAATATAATTGAAAGCCCGATGACAGGTTTTCTCTTGGTAGCACTTATATCAACCCTAGCCTCTTATATGACTATCATCCCAATAGCCTATTTCAGAAAAACTTATAGAGTAGAGAGGGAGAGTCTATATAACAGAAAAATATCAGGTTCACAGTAAAAACAAGACTGTTTCTTTATCAATAACTATATAGTTATACACTAACTAATTACTTCATAACTAGTTATTTAAACTTTTAAGAATTACTTTCATACTTATCTAACAGATCAGAATAAACTTGGAGATGTCACATGTTGGTTTCATGATGATTCGAGACCTCAATACTCACATATCGAGCAGCTTTTTAAAAAAATTTTTTTAAATAACTTTTTCAATATTATACTTACTTTTCCTCTTATAATAAAATTATAGCCATTCATGCAAATATACCTGTGATTTGATTTGTCACAATTTGAAGATATATTTTTAATAAATAAGATCATGAAACATATAATTTACCTAAATGTGTAAGTTTTTTTTTTTACTCAAAATTGCAGTTCGAATAATTATTACAACATTCCTGTAATTATCAAATCTGTACTTATTACTGTATTGCAAGCATGTGTTAGTGAACAACAAACACTGTATCACTAGAAAGTAGGTTTTTTTTTACATAACTCAAAAAGCATAATAATTCTAATATAAACCAACTCGAATTACATACTACATGTAGCTAAAATAGCAAGTTCTGTAATATGCTCTATAATATAAACTAACTTATCTTGCATATTGTGGTTGCTGAAACCTCAAGTACTGTAACAAAATGGTTTCTTATGATAGAAATCATAATAATTGCAATATAAACTAAACTATGAATTATATGGAATAGCAAGTTTTGTAGCAGAATTTTTTTGCAAAAATAATAATTCTTTTTTTTTTTTTTTTTTTTTTTTTTTTTATTAAATATAATGTCATAGTAGAAACTTTATTACAATAAACCTAAATT